GGAATGTCTGCTTTATTATTATGCAGTCCTCTTTCCTAGTCTTATCCCAGTCTCTCTCTCTTTCCGTAAAATCCGTCTGCTCTACCCCTTGTTCACCCATTTCACCCGACTCCTGCCACCACATCTGTCCCACTCGAGGTGTTATTCGCCCTCCCCTGCGTCTGGGTGACTAATTCGAGGCGCAAGCTTCTCAGCGTCATGGTCACCCCTTTGCTACATGTACCACGTCTCTGGTACAACAGACCTACCGTCCCCGCCGTCTCTACCCTGTTGCTATCCCTAATACCAAGTCTATGATTTGCCATGCCATAATCTCTTGTGTGTCAACCCACAAATGTTGTGGTACAGCTTGTTTTGATTTGGTTCAATGTTGAAGCACAACATTTGTGGGTTGGCACACAAGAGACTAGAACATGGGAAGTCATAGATTTGGTACTAGAGATTGAAAGAGGATAGAAACAGTGGAAGCTAGAGATGGTTGGCTAACAGTAGTCGTGATTCAAGGATCACGTTTAGGATAAAACACATCTTTCCTGTTTCTATCTATACTACCATGACTATCACTTCTTATGTCGTAGTCTCTTGTGTGCCAGCCCACAAATGTCGTGGTACAGCTTGTTTTGATTTGGTCACATGAAAACGTCCTTTCTACTAGCATCATCATGCTAAAATTTCAATTACCAGGATGAATATATATCATATAATTGTAAGTTAACTGTGTTGTCAAGCCTATTCCTGAGATTGTGGGACAATTTTCACAATCAGTGCTTTAAACACCTTTCGCAACTCAGTGTGATTGAGGCAAGTATTCCAGGAGAATGCATAGTTTCGAGACACACTTGTACTCCGCCGCCTTGACAAGACGCGTTCGGAGGCGACTCGAACCCTCTTTAAAGCTCAGCCACCCCTTCAGTGTGCCCCTGGTTCAGGATAGCCGAGGGTGCACCTCAACTGGTACAGGCGTCAGGGCGTTGCAGTTTTGGGAAAATGTTCCCACACCGCTCATTCGAGATGACAACCAAGAGGCCATTCCAGCCAACAGGACGTGGGCGTCCGAGGCATCACGCGCCAGCGTTTGGCCTCACCGCCGATGTCCCGAGTGGGTCACGAGTCTCGAAGCCAAGCCGTCTTGCGTCACGAGGCGACGTGGATAGCCGGCCCCTTGCCTGGTTACAGACAGACTCGTAGACAGTTTCACACCTAAACCGATGGCAGGACGGTTCATTCAGGCGGCAGCACCTTTTCCCTTTTTCCAGCTGACACATTCGGGATTCAACGCTTGTGTCGAAAAGCCGACTGGATTCACACAGTCAGAAGTCCTGCTGATGTGACCCAATCTTGCGCGTGAAATGTTGGCTTTTAGTACTAAAATTTGGATTACAGCTATCGCATTTATTTTTCCTATCTTTCTGTCCGTGTGAATTTTTCATTCGCCTTTTTCACACTCCATCCTCCCTGTCCCAATCTGTACACTTGCATAAGCACCCTTAAATGTGTGGATATGTACATGCCTATCTATATTTCTCTGTACTAATACCCCTCGTTTCCAGCACTCCATGTGCCAATAGATGCATTGGGCAATTCATACCATTGCTGCTCAGTTATCCATCCATAAAGCAAACCTTATGGCTACCCCTGTGGAGGGAGGTCTTTTATTACTTTCGTTGGTAGGCCTGGGAATCCATGCCGACTTTCGGGAGCGAGACTGAAATTTCTAGCACCGGGTCACCACCAAAGTGGTCG